ATTCTTTCCAGAGCCTTTCTCACCAGCAGGGCCAAGAAGACTTTCCTTTGCTGATGTGCAGGGAGCATTTGATTCTCTCATGTATCTGTAACAAGAGAAGCTAAAATAAGTGCTTCCATACCTAGCATTGCTCTAAATATAATCAGCTTGCTGCTCCTATGTAGTGATTTTAAAAGCATGACGTGCAGTAATTGCAAGGGGCTGAGATTGGAGAGTGAATGATGATTCCAACAGGCCAAAGCTGTTGGTCACTTAGTGCATGGTAACCTCCGATTGGCTTGGCCCTAGACAGGAGCTGACACTTTCATTTGTCTTTTTCTGACATAGCAAACCTTCTGTATTTTCTTTTTCACACACACACACACACACACACACACACAAACATAATAAAATAATAATAATAACTGATATTCGTGACCTGTGCAGCCTACTATAAGGATCCTGCTTTAGCAGGGGAGTTGGACTTGATGATCCCCAGAGATCCCTTCTAACTCCTACGATTCTGTGTTTCTATAAAATCCAAGGGAGTAATGAGGATGTGGTATAGAGGAGAATTTAGTTTACCCAGAGTTAAATGCCCCAGCCAGCAGTGCCAGTTATATCAGTCACTAATAGTAACCGTGTGTAGCTGCATGTATTAAGGTGGTAGAGGATGATAAGGCTGAAAAGCAAAGCAATCTGTTAGGCTATAGCTGAAAATAGAGTCACTGCTGCAGAGAGAAAAACTTCCATGCCTTCTCCAGCTCTCCCTTCAGACGTGAAAGTGCAGGGAGTGGTGCTGAGGGATGGAAAATCTGATTTCCTACTGCTGAGAGACAGGGTGGCAGTTGAGAGGAGGTTTTCAAGGTAATAGCAACGATGCTATCAGGGCAGCAGGGAAATAAGCAGGTAGATGCCTTATGAAGGAGACATTGCACTTGGGCTCAGCAAAGGCCACATGAGCTTTAAGAGAGCTCAGTCTCAATCCTTCAGCTCTTTCAGTAGAAGGCAGAGACTGGAAGGCAAGATGCAGTACTTACAACAACGCCATATCCTACCAATTGTGTTGTGCTCCACAGCAATGTTGGCTAATCTTGAGCAGAACATTTGCCAGCTTGGCACCTCTGTTCAACCCTCTTGGTATGGCAGAGAGAAACCCAACCCACTTCACAGGATTGCATTAGGGCTTTACAACTAATATTTACTTGCATCTTGAAGATACCTGGGTGGGAGGCACTACAAAAGGGACATCAAAGGTGTTTGTGTACTCAGCGCTGGTGGCTGGTGCAGGGAGTACAAGAAGTGGCTTTTCCAAAGAGGCTGCTTGACCTCAGGGCAAGCAGCACAAGCAAAGGTTGCACAACCCTGTCGCAATATGTTCCAGGATTCTGTTCAGACCTTCATGAACTGAAGACTTTCTAGAGGGCAGTGCAAATCTTGCCTTACTAAATACAAGTATGAGGCACTCAGGAATCGGTAAGTTGATTTTGGATAACCTTCCCTTAATTACCTGATTTGATGAAGGGGGGAGAAAAATTACAGCTTAGCATGACAGTAAGAACTGTGAGCTACTGCTTGTTTTCTCACCAGATTTCTCCTCCTCACATACTCTTTCTCTCCAAACTCCAGAGCTGATCTGGACACTTGAAAGCCTGCAGTCAAGGGGTTTGCTGATTATGCCAACATTCAGCAATCCAACTGTCAGAGACACTCACACATCCTTGGTGCTATTTTGCAATTAGGGAACAAGTGCATTCTTGCAATTTAAGCACTGTGAAGGTAAGTGAGAGATCTGGCTTAATTGCTAGCTTTGACAAAATCCTTCTTCAGAAGGATTCTGAATCTTTCTGTAAATACACGTGGTTCCCAATTGGTGCCCAGTGACACCAATGTAGACTTTTTTTCTGGTGATACTGGCTACCTGAGCTGCTCTGTGCTATGCTATTTTAACTATGGCTCTTGCAGCTGTCACTGTTCAACTTCTAAACACGGATTGGTCTTCCTTTCTCATAGAACATGCAGCACAATCCTCTTGGAAACTATACATGATTTTTGGACAACTCATAACACTGGCACTCCTCTTATCATGTCCATACAACCAAGAAGTTACAGAGGGCTAAGTAATCTAACAGTGCAGGTGGTGGGGAGCTAGGACTCATGTAATGGAATGAGTGCAGCTGCAGCTACTTAATATTGACCAAAAGCTGCTAAGTGTGGTGGAAACTACTCTGCAAATGTAAATACAGTAAACCAGTTCCCTGTTGGGCACTGAGCTGGAGAAACAGTGTTGTTTTAGCTGTACTACATTCACCACTGCCTTCTTCACCAAAACTTTACTTGTAGTGTGAGCCAAAGCCTTTTTCTTTGGTAGGGCTTTTCAACCAATACTATATGAAGTCTAGCATAAGGCATCACATTTAAACAAGGAAAATAGGTTTTGCTAGCTTCAAAGCTTGATCAGAAATAGGAAAACTGCACCGTTACTACAACACAAAGTTTCAGCTAGAACTTCAGAAACTTTCATAAAATCTGTTTTAATCCTGCATCATGGCATTCCATGCCAGCAAAGCATGCTGGAAGGACAGCCTTTGATAACTAGGGGAAATGGCTCAGCTTGAGCAGCAGCCATTAATTCCTTGTGGAAACGGGAAACCAAGCAGCTCCCTTTAGGAAACCTTTCCCTTAAGGAGGGCTGCATGAAGAACCTCAGCAAAAACATAGAACCTTCCCTGCTGTTCTCACAGCTGTTCTGCTGCTTTCTGCCCTCTAGAATGGATGTCATGCTGCATGCAGTACAAAAGCATGACTATTAGCATGGCTACTGTGGACTACCATATATTCCAAATGCAAACAGAGGCAGCAGGAGAAGGGATTTTAAGGGCAACCCAGAGTCTAAGGCTGGTTTTGTCAAATCCCAGGGGAAAGAAGCCAGGAAAGGAAAAAGGGAAGTGGGAGGGGAACTGGGGTTCCAGGAATTGTAATCTAACATACAGGAAAAATAAAACTGCCCTCCCTTTCTTGGTAGCAGAACAACGAGCAATGGAGACGCTTTATCAAAATGCCAAAAACATGTATGTCTGCATATCCCTACATATCCCTACAAGTGCCTCTGCCTGTAACAGTTGCCAAGGAAAAGGAAGAGTTCTCGTGATTCTCAATTAATTGCCAAGTGTGTATCAGACAGGGAGGAAATTGGAGAACTGATTCCAGCCCCCATCCTCTCCTTTACACCCAAAATATTAACTCCTCTCAAGTTTTCTAATATTTCCAGTACTTTTATGTTACACAGAGAACCTGGAGCTCCCACAGTAGTAGACAGTGAGAATTCAGCAGTGTTTCTGTTACCTTAGCACATACGTCCTGAAGATGAAGGTCTTTATGAACAACAGGATTGACTCCACAATCAACTGAGGTGTGCTAGGAATGTCACCTGTATCTTACGAAGAAGAGTTTCTAGCTAAGAAATGAAAGACTGGAGGATTATCTCTTCCAGGACAGAAAATGGAAATGAGCAAAACAGTTCTTTCTGTTAACAAACAGATTCTAAAATTACTCATTTCCGATTTCTCTGCAGTCTCCCTTTCTGTACAAGTGGTTATGTTACTGCATCTCAAGTTTTGATTTTGCTCAGTTTCAGAGTCTAAACGAGTTTCTGTCTTGTAACAGTTTATGGGGATGCCGAAGACAATACCTGCATATATTTCACCAGTCAGTCTTGTCTTCTGCCGAGTACTCAGTAATCTCTGTGAAAATGTTGTGGAATTGCCCCCTTCATCTGTTGAGGAAACACATGGTCAAGAGCAGAAGCAATCATTTAAAATTCCTCAAAGACATTTTGATTAACGAACATCCTGTTAGATGGGCTGGGTCAAATTTAGTCCTGCTGTAAACTAATGCAACAGTGTCTGGAGGGATCTGACTTACGTCCTCTGACTACTTATTAGACTCCATTTGCTCAGATAAATGATCTCAGTCAAAACTATTTTCATCTGGGAGATTTCTTTATGAGATCAGGAAATTATCTTTTGCGGGGGGGTTCACAGTTTTAATTCCAAGCCTATCAAACTTAACACAGGTTCTCCTGTTGCCATAGGCTGTACAGGATGCTGTCATTTCTCATGATTTTCATCTGTTTATTCCCTGCAGATCTTTCATAAATTTCAAAAAGAAACTCATCTGCCAGTTTGTTCAGGAAGGAGTCAAACCAACAAAATAATCTGAACATAATGGAATAACTTGGGAGCCAAGGAAACAGGGTACCTTTTGATCCTACCATGGGCTCCCCACATGACATTGGACAAGTCACTTTTATCTGGGTTTATTCCACCCAATTCTTGCTGTCTCTGTGGAATTCCTATGAGAGAAGCACTGTCTTAATTGGGAAGATGGGTTGCTTTGAGGGCCAGTGAAGAGAGCTAGGAGCCTGAATAGATCACCCTCCTATATTGCATGTACAGAAGAAGAAAGTTCTGAAGAGTCCAGGCTTTGACTTTCCTGTGGGTTTATTTCTCATTTCTGTATGAGGTACTTAGTATTCAGTCCGCATAATAATATGGTGAAGACAAATGTTAAAAATAGTGAAGCAGTAGGACCCATCCTTCTATCCCAGTTAGATAGGTGGATGGCTGCATAAGCTTCAGGAAAATCTGAAGTCTGGTTTGAATGCTGACAGAGAAGTTGTTCCAAGTCTTTTAAAGCATGCAAGATTTCCTTATATTTCTGAATATTAATGTCTGTGGAATGATGGCAAAATGATGATCAAAGGTCAGAAGAAAGAGTATCTCCCATTACAAGCTATGCTCTTCTTTGGGAAAAACAGACAAACAAACAAACAAACAAACAAAAAACCCAAAGCTTTGAGATTTGAATCTGTTATTAAATTCAAAAGTCCACATTTTGGATGATTTTTGGAACTGAGTGTATTTGCAAAATGTTCATGTTTACATTTCACCTTGACTTGTGTTATCTTCCATCATGAAATGTAGGCTTTAGAGCACAGCTACAACCTTGCTGCACTCCATGCTGTTATGAGCCTTTGATCACTTTAATCACTGTACTTAAGAATAGCTTGATCTATTTTTTTCTGCTAAATTGACATTCTACAAGGCAAGAAGGTAATTAGCGATGTCTACTCTGCTGAAATAATATAGCATCTCACTTGTTCCCTCATGAGCTGTACAGCTTGGCTATAGCCATTGTTAGACATAAAAAAAGCTTCCTTCTTCTTAAAGAACAAGAAATAAAAGACAACTTTGTGTAAGCTTATTAAACACTGCGTTCACGTTCCAGCATAGATGTGTCTCTTGAAACACAAGCAAAGAGTTCTAGCTTTCCTTTGCCCTGGGAGGCCTGGATGCTGGAGTAGCCCATGCACTCCTCATCTGTACTTCTCATTTGGCTCAGGGCTCAAGCACATGGCTAAAAACTAAGCTTTCTCGTTTGGGGCATTGCTTTGCATCCCTAAGATGCTTTAAGCAGGATGTTCTGCTTTTACTGCTTGATCTCATCTGAGTCATTTAAATACAAAGAAAGTGCTAGCTATCTGAATATTATGTAATGACCTGATTTGTGTGTGCTTTCATAAAAGATCAGATCCGCACACCAGAGTGGCAGTGCTTTCACTCTCCCCAGAGGACTCTCTAGCTGATTTGGCAGTGTTACACTGCAGAATGACTCTGCCCCTTGAGCAGCAAGCCCATCCTTTTTACATAAACCAGCCGAGAAAGCAAAGAGGTGAGAGGTGTCCATCTTGAAACATCTCAGGTCCATCTCAGAGAAGGGTTAACACATATTTATTTATGTATTTATATATCTTATTTATTTATTTATGTAATAAATTTCCAAACTTCATGCTTTAGGAGTGGAATAGGTTTGTTTTAGAAGTGGAATAACTGCCTCTGTTCATATAAATGCCACAGCCTCCCCAGTGGGTGGGAAGAGTCATTGAATCATAGGGGTTGGAAGGGATTTCTGGATATCATCGAGTTCAACCCCCAAAGAGCCTCCCTCAAGTGCAGCATGCACAGCTCTTCAGAGCGTCTCAGGGCTGCATTATTACATTTGCAACTGCTCCCACAACAAGCTGATGCCAGCAGGGAGGGAGAGGGCACACAGAGCTGCTCACAGTGCTGTGACCTGCACTCCCTGGCCTGTTCTGCTTGTCTATTAAGGAACAAAATTAGGATCACCAGTTGTCACTGCATAGGGTCTGCCAAAGTGCTGGCTTCTGGAAGTCGTGGGATGAACTGGTGGTTAGGCCACATATTGTGTTGAAAATGAACGGCTCACAGGCCCCTACCCCTCAAGTAATAAATGGTATTGTCTGCATTAGAATGTCTTCCACCAGCAAAACTGTTAGTCTTCCATTAGAAGGACAGGAGTCAATTGGCTGCATGTGGATGGACAGAAAGTATGAGTTTCTCCTAATTCAAGAGCTGCTGAGATGCTTGACCCTCTTCTACAGAAACTGCTTCTTTCAAAGATGACAGGATCTAGGCCATAAGTAAGTGAAGAGGTGAAAAAAATCAGTCTCTTTATCAAATAAACGTGTGACTGGAAGCATGTGTCTAAGACAGTGATGCATTTCTTTTTAGGCACAAAAATTAACAGTCCATCAAGAATCTGCATTTCTACACTGCAGTGAAATCCTGAGGAGCTGATGTCTTTTCCATGGTCAGACAATCTGGTTGCCGAGCTGGTGGCTGCAGCAGTGTTCTGTGCTTCTGCAGGCATTCCCCACAACAGCAGTCTCCTCCTCCTCCCTTTGCTCCTATCAGCCAGGCTCCAGTGAGAGCTACATCCACAGCACCCCAATACTTAGCCTCTCAGTACCTGAAATGGTAATAGCACTGTTTTGGTTTTATTTCCCAGACAGAAGACTGTGCTGTTTCTGGCTCCTTGCTGCAATAAATTGGCAGATGATGCTCTAATGAGAACAATAACGCACCCACCCTACCGCCTTTGATCACTTATGTGCTCTTTTGCAGCTTGTGAAAGGCTCTAAAAGCTTTCACCAGACAGGTTGTTTGATTTTTAAGGAGTGTCACTAGCGCTGTTTACCCCAGACAGGCAGAAGCCTGTTTTTGCAGTGTGTGGTTGCTGGGACAATTGACATCAGCTAAGTGGCCAATATGTAGTTTGACCCAAGAAATGCCAGGTTCCGGCCATTTGCCAGCAATTTCAACAGCAGAAGCTGCCTCAAACCAGCGTATCTGAACTTAGTGCTTCAGCGAGCTGCTTAATGGGTTGTATGCTGGGGTGCAGTCAGTGGGCACCAAATGTGCTGTGCCATTTCACATCAGCTGGTGGTCAGCAATACTATTGCACGATAGTGCTGATGGTCAGCAATTGCACATATACTGGTACTAGCTATATTCTCATGACAAAGTGATCTGTGTTCTTGACCCTCTTCCTTTATTCTGAGCTACCCATGCAAGGAACAGAGTTGCACTGAATTTGCACAGAATGGATTGTGACAATCGTTTCCGCTTGTGCACTCCTAGCTACAGTCCCATGACCATCTTTGCTCTCACTGAAAATTACTTGGCAACACAGATGAGCTCCCGTGGGAAGTCACCAGGACGTGATTAAAGTTACCCACAAAACAGATGTTTCTTTGGAAGAAATGTATTGTAATCAATCTGTAAACTCAGAGCAGTTAAAATGGAGGCTGGAAACAACAACCAAAAAATGCTGAATACATCTTATCTTACCATTTGGCTTGCTGTTTCCCATTGCATTCTTCTTGCCCCAGCCACCTCATCCTGCAGCATCTCAGTCTGAGTGACTGAACTGACAGGTGATCTTTTGTGACTTTCTGCATACCTTTGTCTACTTCAGCACCCAAATCAATGGTCTCTGGTTATTTATGCATCTTTATCTGAAGGAGAATCGACTCCATTTTAATTGCATATGAACGGGATGATAATAAAGCACTAATTGTTTTTTCTGCCCATGAACTGATCTGTATCTGGTTGAATTTGCCCTTGATGATCTCATAACACTGGCAAAATTGCAAACAAGTACACACAGACCTGCTGCTTGCATTAGAAGAATCCAGGTATCTCTCATTTTTCACAGGCTACTCGGTGTCTTTTCATTTCAGCAGCTACACAGCATCACTGATGTGTAACTGCTCAGCAGATATGCAAATACTATGTATCCTGTATACTGGCTATCCCTATATGTGAGGTTAAGTGAGGTTTCCGTTGGGAGAGAGTGCGTTGTCCTTTTGTGGAAATGAAATCTTTGTTCTCATTGATTAAACAAGCAAGGAATGGCCCACACAGAGGAATCCTGAGTTCACAATACCCTTCTAAAATGCAGAGCTGGTGAAACATATATCCGTCATCCATTGCTTTCTGTGTCTTATAGCGTACCTACTGCTGTGATAACTGAGCACCTGTCAAGATACTATATTGCTAGTCATGGAAATGGAAGTCATCTCAGATTTATCAACAAAGAAGCTGACATTGCTGTCTGGCAAGTTTCTCAGCTTTTGTGCCTCAACCTTGACCCTCAAGGATCTACTTCTCAAGGCAAGAAAGCAGCCAATTCTCCTCACGGATTTAATCACCATTTCCTCTGCTATGGGTTCTGATTCATGAGGTGGTAGAGATCTCCTTAACCAAACAAGATCACCTGGAAGTAGTCACTGCTACAGGACATAGAGCACACACATGCCACAAGCTGATTTTGGCATCCCAGGTCCCAGTAATACCCACAGTGAAGTGGAAATCTGCCCCTTACTTGAGACCACAAGTGGATCACTGATGCCAGTGGGCACCTTTCAGACATCAAGGCTCTGGCCATATTTGAACTGCAAGACATTTTTTATACCCTCATTGACCTTTGAGCTCACAAAGCATGCTCAAAATCTTACAAAAAAGCCACGCTCCAAAGTGATCAAGTGATATTAGGTTGTGTCTCAAAAACCACTAGAGGTGAGTGCTCAAAGATTCCCGTCTCTTAATACTGAATTGCTCCATTACAACTACCAGTAAAAACAAGAGTGGTTTGTCCTGTGCGTTGCTGTCTTTCTCAGTTAACGCTTTTCACAGAAGTCCAAGTTTAAGTTCTCTCCCTTTCTTTTTCCAGGTTCCCTCTATTTCCCAGAAGGTGTCCCAGAGCTGGAGCCAATTCAGCTGCCAAGATGCTGCCTTTCTCACCTGCTGATTGCAATTAGCCACTGCCAGCTGGGACCTGGTGTGCCATTGAAGAGCTAACAAGAAGCAGAGACCAGCATGATGCCTCGACAGTGCATACACAGTGAATAAATAAGAAATGCTGCACTGTATTCCTGAAGTTACTTCCTATGCAACTTCAATTGCTTCCTAAGCAATTCCTATGTCCCAACATGCATGTCAGAGGTTCAGCTTGCTTCTCGTGCTCTTACCTCATGCTGTCACATACTTGCCAGGAAGGAAACATGGGCAATAAAGGTTACTGATGGTAAAAACAAACCCAGCTGTGGTCTTGTTAAGAAATCTTTTGGCTCATCTCCATCCTCAGGCAGCACCCATCATCACAGGGGAGAGGTCACTTCTGATTATGGTGGTAGCCTAAATTGAGAGGAGGGATTTTGTCCTCCTGGGGCACTGCTCAGCACTTGCTTCCTCATCTGGATCTCTGGAGCTCTGAAGGGGATGGTGGTGCTTCTCCCCCCTTTGGGGCCCAGCCTCAGAACCAGGGTGTTGCAAATTTCCTCCATAATAAAATTCTGCACATTTGAAGTACTAATCTGAGAGGTTCCAGGAGATTTGCTGCCAGGCAGGCTCCCAAACAGAAAGATATCTTCAGGCTTTGCTTTAGGCCAACATGCCTTGGCTTAATCTGGGCCCTGAGTGATAGGGACAGGTGTCCTCTGTCCAGCTTCCTGTCCTATCTCCCAACACAACAACCCTAATGCTTCTGTCTTATGCTCAGAAAAGCACTGAATTTGCAATATTTCAAAAGGATTGTGGATTTGGGATGTTGTATTTTTGAATAATGACAATGACATCTGCCCATGGAGCCTTGCTAGATTTTATAGCCATAATAAGCCTTTCCAGCTTAACCTCTCCATATGAGATACCTCTAGATAAAGCACGTCAAGAGCACGAGACCATTTTCCTTTCCAATTTACCCTCTTTGGGGATTCCTTCCTGACATAAGTGCTATATGAACTTATTGGGATTAGCTCACACTTACTGCAGCAAAAAGAGATGCCACTGTCATGGGGAGCATCCAGCCAGGATCAAAGACTTCTTATACAGTGAAGGAGAGCCCTCATTGGTCCTTGTCGTGTGACGGTTTTTTTTCTGTGTGGTGTAAGAAAAATATGATCCCACTTTCTGACTACGGATGCAGAGGATTCAGGTTGCTTTTGACTTCTTTGAGATGTTGTGCTCCACTTAAGCACATGATCTGACTGTGTCCACCGAATGTCTGCATCCCTTCCTTTCAGGATGACACACACACAACCAAAATCATTCAATGAAAAAAGAGTTAAAAGTTACAGAGGCCTGTTATAATGTAAAGGACACAGCTGTGGAAAAAAAATTATCACAGAAAGGTTGGCTAATGAGCACATGCTATGTATGGAAAAAGCCAGGCTATAACCTTAATAGAATCCTGGAATATCCTGAGTTGGAAAGGACCCACAAGGATCATCCTGTCCAACTGCTGGCTCCTCACAGGACCACCTGTGAATCAAACCGTAGTTCTGAGAGCTTCCTCTAGGTCTGTAGAAGAGTGTCCAAGCTCACTAGGTCTAGAGGAATTCCTTGAAAGAGTAAGCTATGCTACTGCCTAGCTTACACATTTAGGTTTATAGATGGAGTCTGGAAGTTTTCACAGTACTTACAGTCTGGCCTTTGCCTATTGGCAAAAGCATGCTGAACTCATGTTAGGTCTGTGGCACAGCTCTTTACAATATGATTTTATCTGGAAAGGTTGCCACAATATCTTTATTCTGGTGGCTATGGAAAACATGATTGAGATCATTCAGCAAGTCAAATATTTTACTGATGAGTTCTACGTTTTTCAGGATTGGTTCCCAAGGGAAATTACAGAGGGGTTTAGATCCCTATCAATTTCAAGCACAAAAGGATAGTAAAGGAGACCACTCTCCCCTCTCACTCAGCCATTCAGCACTTTGGAATGTGCTGTGAAGTTATTTGCCCTGTCAGCCTTACAAGAGAGGCATCCATTAGTCAACTTCTTTGCCAGCTTTCCCTTCTGTGGGACAGGTTGCTGATGATGAGTCATAAGGACATTGATTTTAAAATTTGCTTTGAACCCTAATTGCATTTCTAAGATGACATAGCTGCTCCCAGGGATCTACTGAGTTTCTAAATCTATAGTTGATGCTTCTTCTGAGTTTAGTGCTACATAATGCACAAAATGTCCTGATAATTTTTTATTTTTATACTCATTGCTTTTTGGAAGTGGCATCTTACATCTGGAAAATTAGGTCAATATGAAAAAAAGCTTTTTTTATTCCAACTGTGGGTTTTGTTTAAAAAAAATCCCGTGTAATGGTTCAGGTGGGTAAAACAATAACAATGCATTATAATTGAAGGTTAGTATCCAGATTAAGTGAGCATCTGAGAGACTCCCATTGTGATTTGAGAGGCTGGCATTCTAAGCTGTTATAAATCCAAAATAATGGCTAAAATTATACAATTTATAATTGTATTCACTCCTATATATATAGGAGTGAAAATGAGATACACAGTCTAGTCACCTGGACTGTGGAATGGTAGACATATCTTACAGTCCATATTAACGTGGACAGGTTTGGTTGGATATCAGGGAAAGATTCTTCACAAGATGGCAGTGGACATGGAACAGCTGCCCAGGGCAGTGGGCACAGCCCTGAGTGCCATAATTCAAGGAGCATCTGGACAATGCCCTCAGATAGAGAATATCAGTTTTGGGTGGTCTTGTGTGGAGCCAGGAATTGGACTTGATGATCCTTAGGTCCCCCTTACAACTTGGGATATTCTATGATTCTAATGCTTCCTGCCTGTGCTATTATTAGTAGCAGTAGTATTATTATTACTGTTAATTGTCACTTTTCTCAAGTTGGACTGTCCTTAAAGCACACTTTCCTTTGACTTCGTTTTGAATCTTTACCACGGGAGTGCCTGGGCAGTAGGGGACACTTTGTCCCCTACAGCTGCCCAAGACTTCCTGGAGCCCTCTCAGAAACTATAGGTTCTCCCTGTATGAGGCAGTGGTTCTCTCTTGCCCTGGAGAGCATGCTGCCATCACACTGACTTTCAGGGTGAGAAGGTGAGCCATCTCTCTAGTAGCAATCTGATAGAGGAGGAGATGAGAGCCTCAGAAACACCTCGATGTCCATACTTTTGACCCTATGAGATGAGGATATTCTGAGTGAACGTGAACATATTGAATGGACATTGACTGAATTTCTGATTAAGAAAATACAGTATTTTACTTGTCTTCAGAAGTCATGAAGTCAGTAAGAAACTTTCTGCCTTGGTGCTGAGACCAAGGAAAACAAGTACTATGTCTTTAATGCCACAACAGTAAGAAATTTCACCTTCTAGCCTCACATTCAGCCATTTTCTTAGTAATTTGCTAGGTCAAAATAATAAAGTAAAAATCCTAAGGCATTGGTGAGGACAGCAAGAGACACGTAGACCATGAAATTAAGAATAATATAAGAACCTGACAGGGTCTCTCTACTTTGTTATATTGCTGTTACCTGCTCCTCTTTTCCCTTATTTTTTCCACGTACTTCCAAGTATAAAGCTGGTGAGAAGTAGATTTAAAAGTGTGCAAAAGGATTACAAAATATCATTGTTATATAAGTAAACGGAAGAGAAGGGAAGGAAAAGGCAAAGAAAAAGAGGAGGAAAGGAAGGGAGGAAAGGAGGAAGGGAGGAAGGGAAAATCCTATTTCTATTTGTCAGTTTTTAGTACTATTTTGAACACAGTCAAAATGGTTCCTTCATCGTGACCTACCTGTGTGAACCAGGCTGGCTTAGGCGGTCTGAGTCTCACAGCATCCTGCTGGGGCATTGCTGACTACTTCTGACCCTGGCAGGCAAGAATCCCACAGGGCAGGTTCTCTCTTCAGGTAAGCAGGAAAGGGGCATTTTATGAGGGATGTTAAACGTGCTTGAATCCACTGCCCTGTTTGGGTGGCAGCGAATCTTGGTTCCTTGTTTTAGAGCTTTTAAGATTTAAAGTGCTACATAAATGGTAAGTATTGTATTCCCGAGACTAAACAAGGAGGCAATCCTTTTTATCCTACAACTGTAAGGTCAAGGTAAATGTGACTGTTTAGAAACATTACAGAGCTGAAGGCCCTGGGGAATTTTAATGTGTTTTATAAACTTGTTTCCAAACCAAGCTATTAGGAAAACAAGATATTTCTCCATAAAGCCTTTCTTTTTGTCTCTTTAGGGACAGCACTGCCTGCCTTACAGTGCTTTAACTCAATCAGAATCATCATTTTTATAAACAGGCCATTTTTCATGACTTGCTTGATCAACTTGGGAAGGCAGTTTTTAAGAACTTATAGTCATACACGGAAAAAAAAAATTATCTTACTACATGTATTGCAGCCAGAGATGTAATAGAAACCATGTCCTTTTTCTGAAGGTAATGCAAAAGGGAAAATACAGACTTATGCACTTGCTTTCCTCCACACTCAGCTTCTCTTATGCAACACTACCAAAAGGAACAAACGAGCTGTTTCACAATTAAACTTCAGAGATAGGGTTTTTTCTTTCTTTCTTTCTTTCTTTTTTTTCTTCCATACAGAAGTTAACAAGGTGTGATGCCAATATTTACCCATCGTTTTACCTGTATCAGGAAATTTGCAAGTGACAGCTTTGCAATATTCAGGCCGGGACAAAGCATGGCTCTGGGCAGCCAGAAACTGCGAGACACTTCTAAATGTTACAGAGCTGCAATGTGATTTCAAGCACTCTTGCTGGCCTCAGCAAAGCCGCACGTTTTCACATGCCAGAAGTGAGAGCTTCCCCTCTCCTTCCCTCTCCTCCCCAGGCATGTACTTCAGATACGTAAAATATTCAGCAAAATAAAGATTTCACATGGAATCTGAAAAACTTTTATTCTGAGTCAAAGTAGTCTCTGAGCAGTGCTGACAAGCGAGCTTAGAGTGATCCAAAGAAGAGGGAATTTTGAGACACTGTTTTAAAGGAAATGCAGCACCACATACCCCACAGAAAGCAAACAGGGATAAGAGGAAATGTCTTCTTATCGGAGCATTAGCCTTATTCAAACATGCTCTATGAGGGCAGGAAAGGAGCTGCGTCTGCAGGTTTAGCTGCAAGCAGAATACCTTAGGCAGGTGTGTTACACTCCATAGGAATGGACTTTGCACTGCAACATGGATCTACATTCCTCCCTGCCTCACAGGAAGGCAGCACTGTCATTCCCTCAAAAACTTATCTCGCCTGCAGAGC